ACTTAGCAGATTGACACTGTGGCAGTCTCACTACTAGCAGGTGCTTTGAGCATCTTATAGCCGAAAAAGGAGTATTCTGGTATTGATGAAAACAAGCTCTTCTTGCCTGTCTCTTTTCAGCAGGAGACCTTTTGCTGGGCAGCAGAGGGGACAGGGTGGGATGGGAGCCACAGGGTGGGACAGGAGCCAGGGATCACCCAATGAACTGTGGCTGTAGTGGAAAGCAGAAGCAGAAGGGTCCTTATGTCTGGTTGCTCACATCTTCTTTCCAGTAGTCCTCATGAATGAAGCTTTCGCCATCGGCTCTGGCACTTTGAGGTGCCAGTAGTAGAGATTATCATCGCCATAATAGGTCTTGGACTTCTGCAAATGGGAAACCAGGGGTTTGGGGCTGGTGGGGATTTTCCTGATGTTGTGGGAAATCCCCAGGTGGCAATAATCCAGCATAACGGGCACTGTGCCACCCCCTCTGCAGACACCCAGGAACATTACTGGGAGCTGCACTCAGTGTAATCTGTTCGCAGGTATGGTGCAGATCTGAGATGACTCCCAGAGGATCTGTCTGCATTAATTCATGGCCACGGCACATCCATGGGTCCGCTCCCACTCATGCACTGGAGAAGCTGCTGGGGGTCAGCTCAGCTCCTGCAAGAGGAGGGTCTGCACAGGGCTTTCTAGCACTGATGGCACTTCCTGAACTAGTTTATTTATGGATTTGTTTTTCTCAAATAGAAGAATATGTAAAGCCATTATGAAAAGGCACTGCAGTGCAACTGTAAACCAGGCACAGCCGAGTAGGAGGTGCTGGGGAACCCCTACCAACATGGAGCAGGCACATGCAGAGTGAAGCAGTCCTTATATTGCTGAGATGTTAGGATCTGGTATTATCCTCTGGCAACTACTGAATCTGGGGAAGCGATGGCAAGGGAACATGATCAGAAAGCTGGCATAAACATTGAAACTGGTGCATCAAAGATCTCCTCTCCTCCAGTCACATTTTATCAGTACCGTTTTATTCTACGTGTCTATAAACAACAAAATCATTACTGATAAAACTTGCCTTAAGCAACAAGACACATGCTAACAATAAAGCACTAAGAGACATATTTTCAGAAGTGTGTGTGCAGAAATGCCTATTGTACAATGTACAAGCAGCATGTGGTCTGGATGTGGCAAGCAGCAAAGGGAGAGGAAAAGGGGAACAGATGGAACCTGTATATGAGTGACAAGATTGAACGTAAGCTCAGATCAAGTTCTGCAGTATGCAGAGGCTGAGCTTGAAAAGCCTTAAATAATAACCACATTTTAAGGAGGACTGTATCAATGAGGCACACGGATGAGTGTGGTGAATTGTAAAACTGCAGAGGACACAGCAGTGGAGACAGTGATATATTTAGAACACATGAGAGGTTCGGTCTGACATGCTGGCTGTGCGTACAATCAAAGGTGTGCGCATTTCAGAAACATCAGCATCCCTGAAACCTCAGTGACTTAGCAATAAAACATCAGGAAACAATAAATCAGGGCCAGAAAGGTCTGAGAATTCCACACAGCTGAAATAAAGATTGAGCAAGAGGAATTAACATCAAGAAACCAGATTCAGATGTTTAAAGCTGATTGTCTGAACCAAGTTAATATAATGTACCATGTTTCACTTCAAAACGTTTGGATCATGCAGCTGGGGAGCCCTTCCCACAGTTGTGAAATGCAGCAGCCCACTTTATCTGAGTGTCTGGATATGAGCAGGGTATAAACAATGAATTGGGATTACAGCCTTTACTATTCTGGTCTAGTTTTGCTATTTCCCTGGGCCACTAGCACAGAAAGCCCAGCAGTGAGGCGGCACAAAGCTCCCATCTTCACATATTCTGGAACTGCCCACTCCATCCATCTCCCTTTGAACTGAAAACGCTGTCTCTCTTTTTCCTGACTCTGAACCATTTTGCCGATCAGCATCCCTTGCTCTCTTATTTTCAACATATTCAGGCATCTATTCAGCTATCTAGTCTTCCCAAGAGAAATTATCCTCTTTCCTTCCCTTTCACCATTTCCAGTGCTGAAGTTCAGCTCTCTAGAAAAGTATATTTACAAACCTGAAGCAGTACAGAACAATCACGTTTTCACTCCTTTTTGTGCATGCACAAAAGAAGACTTTACTTGTATTCACCTGTGTGAGGTTTGCACACTTTCAGTGCTAAACTTTTGATTCTAGCAAATCTCACATGGCTTTATATGAACTTACAGTACACACGCATTGCATAAGCTCCTTCAGCTGAGTGAAGTAATCCAAGAGGCTGAAAGTGGCTGCCCGAAAACTGAAAAACCACACCTCCTCGTGGGGAATGAAGATCCCATTGTTAAAGAGGGTTTTGCAGCCTCGCAATTCATTTGGTTCCTAGCTCTGTTCAATTACATTGCTAGTGGGAGTGGCTCTTCCCTGGGATGAGATAACACACTCAGCAGTCCTTGGATGTGAAACTAATTAACTGGAGACAAGTGTTGATGCTGTAACAATACTCCTCCATGCACTATCTATTCATGGTAACCACTTTTTGATTGGGGTGAGGTTGTACAGAAAAAAAACCAGACAATGCTGATATTAAGGTCTCAGATCCCAGATCTTTCCCCCCCTCTATTCACATGTGTTTTCATGGCAGCTGTACATGTGTAATGCTGTTATGGGATAAAAATCTTTCTGGCACATCTCTGGTGAAGCTTAAGACAAATTTGACACTGTGATTTATGTCGTAAACAAAACAGACCAGGGTGTGTTCTCTCGCCCTTCAGCAAGTGGCAGAGCCCTTATATACAGCAAGCTCCCCTCCCACGGCCACCCCCGGAACAAAAAGCTGGCTTTATCCAAGCCTGGAGGAACAGCGTCTCTGGAGGGCTCAGAGGCAATGGCCAAGCTGTGCTGGGAGACATGAGGGCAGCGAAGCAGTGTGGCTGTGCTGCTGGGACTGTCTTGATCCCATCTGTTTTACAGGGTACGTACAGCCAGGACAATCTCGCTGCTGTTTCACAGTTTCTCCAGCACTTCCTAGATTCAGAAAGCTCTGTTTAAAGATCAGGGTCTCTGATCATTCCAAGCTGAAGTGCACAGCCTCTGCTACGGGAAGTTGGTAGGGTTCTGCTCCATTGCTGATTGCTCAGAATTTCCATCCAAAGGTCCTTCCTATTTCCTTTTTAGACATGCACAGTGTAACACTCAGACAGACTGCACAAATTTACCAAAAGGGTGACAAGAGAGGACATCTTGCCATCTGGGTCAGGCGCTCCCTGATGTTTTGTCAGGTGCCCGTACCCACAGTGTGGAGGTCCTAAAGGGCACTGATGGTTTCCTGAGCTGTGTGCCCAGAGCCCCTATCCCTCTAGGAACTCCTCCTGCTATAGTCAGGCAGCAGCACTTAGTGGCTGGGGTGGTGTACATCCCGTGTCCCTGGCATGGGATGAAACCTCCAGGAGGGATTCCATGGATGGATATGAACACAGCCCCACTAGAAACAGAAGTGGGGTCTGCTCCCACTTCACACGTGCCACACAGGAAGGCAGGACTTGCTTCATGGAGCTCATATCTCCCAACAAGCTTCAGCCTTGAGACCTCCAAACCATATGGCACACAACTGCACTTGGAGACCTCCCAGCCATACAGCACTCAATCCATACATGAGGCTCCAATCCATACAGCACCCAATAATATCTGTGGACATCCTAGCTCTATGCACCCAACGGTACCTGGCAGTGCTGCTGAAGCCTGCAGCACTGCTGCCTCACTGCAGTGATGCACAGGAGCTGTCATCATCCCTGGTACCTTTTCTTGTCCTATTCATCAGCATGGAGAGTACATGGTGCCAGCCACATTGCAGCTGCACAGGAGATGCAGCATCTAAAAGCAAACCTCCTTTGCTTTCCCCTTGCAAATCATATTGCACTTGCCACTAAAATGACCAAAACTACCCAATGACGTCACCCATCAGCTATACAGAAGCTCAAAATAGGCAAATTCCATGTGGAAATCACCCAAGCAAATAAGCTCGTCTTAATGCTTAAAAGAATATGCCAGATCGGGTTCCTCTCTTCCAGGCCATGATTCACTCCCCATTTAGTCCTGGCTAACCACATCATGGGAGCTTTGGGATAAGAACTATATTATTCTTTGCTCTGATGCAGGAAGGCTCTGATGTGCTTCGGAATGTCTCAGGGTTGTTGCAATTAAAATTCTTGCTAATTTCACAGAGGAGGCATTTTCATTTGTTGCCTTTTTACAGATGGCTTTAGCAGTCCCAGACCACCAGAGTCACAGCACAAAGAAATCAATGAACTCCTTGGCATGGTGCTTTCCTTGCTTGAATTTGCATCAAGCTTGTTTACAGTCTGTGGGCCAGGAGAAAGGGGTCATTTATAATATGTACCCAAGCATTGCTTGCCTGCATTTTAGGAGTCAGCAACTCTGATAAATTCTTGACGCAGCTTGCAAGCACAGCTAAGGCTCTATCTTCTGCCTACTGCAGGAAGCTAGTTACTGTATCAAAGATCAGAGTTGTTCATAACAACACAGGAAGGTTATATATACAAGCACAAAGGAACAAGGATGCAAGGTTTTGCTGCTGTGCACTACTGGTCTCTAAATTTGACCATAAACTGCTTGAATCAATTCAAAACAAAACACTTGCTGCAGCACCACCCAGATTACTCATAGACTAATTCTCCTCTTGCAGAGACAAGACACTCCATTATCAAGATGTTTGTTTGATACGACTTTCAAAAGACGAGTTTATCTAAAATTGCATTAGAGTCTTATTTAGAGAGTGTAATGACCTTAAGTGGCTGTGCTTTAAAAAGGCTAACAAAATAGTACATAATCTCAAATGGGCACACATTGCAAGGAAGTAATTTCCCTCTGTTACACACACAGCATCTGTGGAACAGGCAAATGTTTATCAGGAACTGAAGCTCATCAAATCAGTTAATTATTTCATGGAAATGAACGAAGAGAAGGCTACGTATTATTTATATATTTCCAAAAAATCACAAATGCAGACGGGACCTTTTCAGAAGACATTCCTGCAATTGAGTGTTGTTGGGATAAAAACCAGCAAGGAATTACTGCTAAGAAACCTTTAGTCAGCTCTGGCAGATCTGATGCAAACCTAAGTGTTGCAGGAGTCACGTGCTGCAGAACTGACACAGAAGAAAAGACCCGTGGAGGAATGCAGCCAAGTGTGTTTCCTCTCTCTTCTCTCTCCTCCTCTCCATTAAATGATAGGAAATCTGAGAAAAGACAAATAAGCCAGGTTTTAAAACTGTTTCAGCGCCTCTCAGGGGCTCTTGCACACAGACAACATTCACACTTGGGGCTTATTTCCTTTAGTTTCTGCTCTTTCTGCATCCCTGTTCTGTTCTGGTTTACAGTCTCCAGCTCCCTGTACAAACAGGATCTTTCCTCAACAGTGTGCAGCCACATCATCTTCCTTCCTTTGTATATAGGCTGATACTGTGACACCATGCTGCTTCCTAAGCACCTCGTTTCTCAATGCTAGCAAAAACAGGAACCAAAAGCAAAGCAGCAATAAAACACTAAATCCTTACCACAGCTTCAAGTCGAACCCTTAAAAGTTTCCGAATCGAGATGACTTTTCAGCCAACTGATTTTTCTAGCTCAGTGTGCTGTGCACCACGCTGCACAATCAGCCCAGATGCAGCACTGAGACATTTTGCCAGATGCAAATGCTCCTGTAAGGTCTGTCCCACCGACCCACACTTTTTCCCCTTCTTTCAAGTGCGGTGAAAAGTGAAGCCAGCTGAGCAAAGTGCATGTGGCGTCTCTGTTAACCTTTTCTCTCCTCTCCTGCAAATCCTGCTGTTTGATTTTTTGCTCTGAGGAGATTAGATAGCATGTCTTCAGGGAGAAGAGAAAACCACAGAGCACGGTGCACATTGCACAAATGCTCTTGTTATTCTGAGGCCTGAAAAAACAAGGAAGGAAGCTTGAGGCTGGTGGTTTGGCAGGTGTGAGACGTTTTTTACACAGACATCTGTTTTAAGTGGTAGCTCTGGGCTGGGGGATGAGCACAATGCCCATCATCCCCTTACTGTGGAGCAGCACAAGGGTTTGAGGCTTCAGAAGAACCAATGGCTCTGTGCCTCCTGCTTCCTTACACTGTGACTTGGGATGCTACTCTGCTGTATTTGTGGGGTAGGGCTGCAAAGGGAGAGAATTTCTGTTGCAAACCGACAACTGGCTAATGCAGCTGTTCCTCTGATGCATTAGGCAGAGGTTTCTGCTGCTGCACTGGCACTCACAAAATGGATGAGGGTGAGTACAAAATGGGTGAAGGAGAATACATACGCTAAGCTCAACGTAAAGACCTGATGAAAACAGTTTGGATGCTACCGCGTATACCACATCAAAATTCACTTTTCTAATCCCACAAGATTATTTCTAGTGGTTTGGGTAACACTGCTGGTAATCCCTTCACAGCTTTGAATGAACTGCCTCCTTTGGCAGGATGCTAAGACACGCTCTGCTACGTCTTGCCCTGAGTTTGGAGGAATTCATTAGTGCCTGGCAGTTATTACCTATTTTAAAACGTATCTGTGATCTCTACGTTATAAACAATCTGCAAAAGAACTGCAGCTTTTAGGGCAGGATCCTGCTCTGCTACAAGGCATGCAGGGAGGAAAACGGGACTTGCACAACATCCTCTCCAGTGGGGATTCTCTGGGGCAACTGTGCCTTGAGCCACATTATTATTTTAAATGACAATAAGCTCTTTCTCCAGCAGCTGACTGTCGACTTTAATGAACGTTTAGCAACTTAATTACCTTTAAAACCGTTAGTGGTCTGTTAAAGATTGCTGGAGTTGATCTGTGCACTCCAAAGTGACTGGGGAAGGGCAGATGGGAAGGAAGACATGCTGAAACGCATGTATGCAGCTGCCATGCGAATTGCAGAAGCCTCATTTCCAAAAGAACTCAAGATGAAGTCATTTCAAGGTGAGGGACTGTGGTTAATCCGTCATTAATACGCTCATTAATACGTCCCCAAACTCATCGCTATGTCTGCTGCAGGAAAGCCATCTGCACACAGCTGCAGCTGAGGGGATGAGCAGAACACATCAGCGGTGTGTCCTGAGGTTCTGCTAGATGAGCGAAATACCTGAGAAATAAAGGGTGTTGGCATTTTGCAGTTCTTGGAAGAATTTGGAGGTTTCTAGAATGTATGGAAGATAACTTCCTGACCCATCTCAAATACCGTGTTCACTTTCAGGCCCCTCACTACAAGGACGTGAAGGCCCTGGAGTGTGTCCAGAGAGGGGCAACAAAGCTGGGAGGGGTGGAGCAGCTTAAGGAGCTAGAACTGTTCAGTCTGGAGAAGAGGAGGCTCAGGGGTGACCATACTGCTCTGTACAACTGCTTGAATGGAGGTCGTGATGCCGTGGGGGTCGACCTCTTCTCCCATGTAACAGCAACAGAATGAGAGGGAACGGCCTCAAGTTGCACCAGAGGAGATTCAGGTTGAATGTTAGGAAATACCTCTTCACAAAGAGAGTGGTCAGGTGCTGGAATGGACTGCCCAGGGAGGTGGTGGAGTCACCACTCATGGAGGCGTTCAAGAAACACTTAGATGTTGTACTGAGGGACCACGTCCCTTGCAGTGCACCTGCGAGGAGCACTGTTACACAGGTCAGAGAAATCTAACAAACTCAGGGAGTTTGACTCCAAAATAACATTTTATGTTCTAAAGATTAAAAAAAGAAAGACAGACGATGAATCCTAACATTCCTGGTTTGGTATATTAGTTTTCTTTCCTTTTTTTGTTTGTTAGGTTTTCTTTTCTATTTGTAAAGTAACAGCAACGAGAACCTTCCCAGTTCACACTGTGGCCCTAAATGGTACCACTAACATATGGTTGCAGTCAGACAACACCTTCAGTAGGAAATGGCACCTTGTTACTTCCCAGATTATCTGCTCCCTATGGGGTAAATATCTCCAACATCAGGAATGTTTAGCATCAACATTCCTATTAAAGTAAATGGGATTTGAGTGAGGGTAAATCCAAGTGTGCAGTGCTGGGATGTTATACCTATAAATCTTCTGTGTCTTGTGCTATCTACTTTATTTGCTGACAAAAGACAAGCATTTGCTGCCAGCATAGGCTTCAGTAAGCACAAAAGGAGGGTGTGTGTTCAGCACTGCTTCCTGTAATGCTGACTGCAGCTATAGCAAGGAAGCATGAAGCAGGAAGAATTACAGGGCATTCCTCAGCTCCTCAGCAGCGCTGCAGCTGTGAGAGGGGAAGGAATCCGGCTTTCCGCTGCAAAGTGTGCTCTTCACCTCTGAACCGCAGTTACATGGCAGTGAAGCTCCCTTTTACAACAGCAGCACAGCTTTGTGGGCCTCTTCAAGGTTACTGCTCTCATATTACGCAATTTGTCTGAGAATTCTGTTTCTTCTGCTCGTGTCCATCCCACTCTGGGAGGGGTGGACAAGCACCCCAATTTACTGAGCAGCAAAGGCTTGGACAGGCCTTTTCCTTTGGATTACTACCTAAAAACAAAGGGCTTAAAGAACTTGTCTGATTTTGGAAAGAAACATACATATATAAATAACCTGGTAAGTGTAACCTGAATGTGCAGGACAATAAAGCAGCACTTTGTCACTTTGCTAGATGACGTGTGGCTAGGCCTGGTAGGGGGAAGAAAAGGGAAAAGAATTAACTCAGTGTGCACTGTGATCTCACCTCTGATGTGTATTTAACATGATATTCAGTGAGCTGAAACTTTGGTCTGGAGAGCCCCCTTGAACTAGGAATGGAGCAAGACTGGTAGAAAAGAGTTTTATTAACCAAACCGTCTCAAAGGGAAAACAAGGCTTTGGAGACACAAGCTCTTCCAATCTAAAACAAGCTTTGAAGAAGGGATGTGAGGAGATCTGCACTGTAAGCCTGGTCAGCTGGTCTAATAAAAGTTCTTATATCCACATACAAATTATGCCTTGCTTATAGCCTGACATCATTACTACTGCAAATTACTGAAATGATATCCAAAACGGGATATCATTGTTTTAAAGGCACTCTGTAAGTTAACTTGCGTTCTTCCTTTCTCCGGTGCAAACCCCAGTGTGACTATCTCCTTTTGTTCTTGTACGAGCTACTGATGGCAGCTGCTCTGGAGAACAAGGCCCTAGCTCTGCCCCGAGGCACTTATTCCCTGGGGATAACACTGGGTCACTCTCAGTGCACAAGTGGTCTGAGTCTGCTCCTTTCTGCTTGGGAATGATTTCATATATCTCCAAGGTATCAACATTCACTGAAGAACTATTCAGCTCCAGCACAGATGATTCTGGTTCCTGATTCTGGCAGCCTGGGGACTACAGGAATGTGCAGTTTCACAACTGGTCTAAGCTGATCCACTGCTGATCTCCTGCCAAAAGGCAGTTCTCCCAGCCACGTGCCCATGCTCCCTCTGCGCTGACACTTGTGTTCCTTTGGCTGGGCAGACTGTGGCATCGGGGGCTGACTGGTCTCAGAGCAATCCTCCCTTCTTCCTCTCCCTTTGGTAGAGTTAATCTTTGTGTGGTTCAGCTTGCTGGCTGGGCTGTGCACCTGATAAGGGCTTTCAAGGTATCTTGCAGACCTTCCCAAAAGCTGTGGGGGGTTAGGGCAGGCAGCTGCCTTGGGATGGGATGCATGCATTCCTCCATTCCTTTGAACATAAAGAAAATGGGTTTAACAGCCATGTGTTACATAATGGTGCCATACATCTGATATACATGTAACTGAGGGGTTTTCCTATGGTATGTAGGCCTAAGGTGTTAACTGATTTACCATCCAGCTATACACCCATAGTCTTTCACACCAGCTCAATGCTGGTGCACTAGATTTAACACCTGCAACATCATGGTTATAAAATCATAGAATGCCCCAAGGTGGAAGGGACCTACAAGGAGCATCGAGTCCAACCCGCCTCCACACAGCACCACCCCAAATCCAATCCCAATGCCTGAGAGCGCCGTCCAAACGCTCCCTGAGCTCCAGCACTGGGGCCGTGCCCACAGCCCTGGGCAGCTGTTCCATGCCCACCACCCTCTGGCGCAGCCCCTTTCCCTCACCCCCAGCCACCCTCCCCTGACGCAGCTCCATGCCGTTCCCTGTCGCTGTCACACAGAGCAGAGCTCAGCGCTGCCCTCCGCTCCCTGTGAGGAGCTGCAGCCGCCATCAGGCCTCCCCTCAGCCTGCCCTGCTCTGGGCTGAGCACACCAGGGGCCTC